ATTTGTGCTGATAGAGGGCAGTACTAATCAAGAAAAGCTATTTTGTAAGAGGAGGTAAGTATCTATCGGAAATACATTTTCAGTTTAGGAAAATATTAACTTCTTCCACACAAGTTGTAAGTCACACAGTGCACGTGCAGTTCATGCTACCGTATCAAATAGCATAAAACTGGACTTTACAAAGTACAAATGTCTTACCCTTCTTAGTCTTAGTACCAGCATACCCGTGTTTTGTAAAATACAGTAACATTTCTATCACCATACATTACATATGTATATATATTATTATTATTATTACTATTTACAAATAAATTCTTAAATTTCAGTATTTTTCTTAAAACATTGAACAGTACATAAAAAATAAATATGGAAACCAATGATCTCTACTGTTTACGATGTTACAAAGTTTTTATGTACTTGTGCTTTATACTTGCTAAGCCTAATTGAATTTCACACGTGAAGGATATAAAAACTTATAAATTACTCTATTGACATGACGAAATTCCACTGTAATTTATCAGGCTTCCTAACAAAGCTGTATTTGGGTCTACAAAATTTCATTTCTGATCAGCATATTACCTTCAAACCCATGTGAATACTTTAGGAAGACTGACATGGTTGCATAGTTCAAAATGAACAATTTCAATTGGTTATAACCATGTACTTAAGAGAAATGGTGTAGGTAAACAAGTATTTTCAAAAGAGGAAGAAGTGGGCAGAGCCACTGTGGTGGGTTTGCTAAGTATAATGATATCTTAGCAAATAGTAAAGGTAGGAGGTTCTTGTTTTATATACTAGCTTGTCAGTATTGGTAATTTGAGTTTCTTATTTGTTAAAAACTGTAGACTTTACATTTTCTGCTACCCACAATAACATCTAAGCAAATTTGGAATATGATGTACTACGTGACGCACACAACAATTGATAGTTAGCAATTTTTTTAATATTTACTTTTAAACTGAGAAATTAAATAATAATGATTTCAACTTTATAGACATACGTTCATAAAACAGTAATTTAATACAATTGTGAATGTAAGTCTACAAAATGTCATGACATGAGCTCTAGCCCAAATGGAAAGGGTTAAACTAGATTTGGTTTTATAACTAAGCAGTAAAAACTTTGTACACAATGCCATAATTTAAATCAGGTGTGGTATTCCATCAGCAGACCATGGTCTGAATATGAACCATCAGCACATGCAAAATGGACCTCGAAATCATGCAATTTTTTATATTTTTAAACTACATGCAATTTAGAAAGTACTGGGTTCTAAGTATTTATTAATAAATGTGCATTTGACAGTATACCAAGTTAACAACCCTGAAACCAAAGCACATTTGTAATACCTCTTAAGTAAACAAAAACAGTGTGAAAAGTTAATAATTTTCTGTATAGGCCTATCTGTGTTTATTTGTAGGACAGGAGCAGGTACAAAAGGTTAAGAGATGTTTTCCTAGAGCTTGATCTTACTGTAAGCAAGACATTGTGTCACTAACAAAAAAAAAATTGACTACTGCTGTTTTCAGTATAAGGGAGGGAGGGAGCTTTTAGCTCTCACTGTACTGGCTTGGTCATTTTGATCGATCTTGTAACAACTAGGTAACTATGAAAATATACATACTATAACTTTTAATGTAGTAAAGTGTAACTTCATGAAATTTTGCAACTTTTAGTAAAAAAATTGACTACTGCTGTTTTCAGTGGGAGGGAGCTTTTAGCTCTCTCTGTACTGGCTTGGTCATATTTAACGATGTTGTAACAACCAGGTAACCATGAAAATATACATACTATAACTTTTAATGTAGTAAAGTGTAACTTCATGAAATTTTTTTTTTTTTTTCTTGAAGATTTGTTTGTGAATATAAGGAGTTAAGAGTGTGATTCAGACTCTGACTAGTCTTAGTGCAAAGTGATTTTCATGTAAGATTAAAATTACCGTTTAATCTTACAGTTTCATATTTTATTTGCATAACCTCTAGAACTTTCTAAATGAATAACAAAAGTTTTTTGTTTTTCTTCAGTAAAACTTTATATATCTTATCTGTTACTTTCTCTACCCTGATGCTGTATGGACTCAGTCAATTTGACAAACCTTGTAAGGACCACAAAAGATATAAAGTAAATCTAAATTACCCTTTTCTTTCCTTCTAGAATGACTGCAGATTGAAATAGAAAATTACAATTATTCATCCTGAACAGCTTGAGACTTATAACAGTTGACATCTGTTTTTATTTAATTTTATTGCTCTTTGAACCGTGTCTTAACTTATAATGATGTGATACAAGCTGTAAATCATATGGCAAATGGACATAGCTCAAGTTATGATATTGAATGAGTAACGTGCTAGTCATGAGCGTATCTCGTTGAGAAATATTTTATTATTTTTTTACATTATCTAACCTAATATATTTTTGATTTTTGCATTTGAGTAAGACATAAGAATTATACATAAAAAAGCAATAAATTTAGTACTTACACTTGGTTCATTAGTTTTTTGCTGTTGGTTCTCTCATAAAACTTAACCCTAATTCCTTGTAACAATATTATTTGCAACTAAAATAATTTTTATTTATTTGAAAGATGCACTTGAGAAAGTAAAATAATAACATACAAAGTAAAACAGTGTCCTGTATCTATTATAATTTAACTGACTTCCTAAATAATATACAAGTGCCATAAAATAATTCCCTGAGCTGCTCAATCTGAACTTGGTTGTAGCAACTTTGAATCTGTAGGCAAAATATCTACAAATCTGTACTGAGAACAAAGTAGCATTATATCATTCAATAAATTAAAACTGTTTTTCTTTTGACTATAAATGATATAATAGCAAATGTCAGAGACAATTATTATATAACATTGGCAACTTGTGAGAGAGTTTGTGATAGGAGGGTAAAGCATGTGGGTTTGACTTCTGGTTTATATCTCTGGAAATGAAGAATATTAAAAGCAGTGTGTGTTTTACTAATATCTGTACCATAATGAGTAATTTGCATTAAATTTGGGACATCATAGAGATGTTATTAAAAAATAGAAAATAGGCAAGGTCGAGTGAACAGATATCAATTTTTTTTTTGAAATACACAGAAATCAGAGAAGGAGAATTTACTTAAATATATTATTTTTGAAATTAGAAATTAAAACTTATATACAATTAAATTTTGTTTTGTTAACTACATTTTTGAGCCAAGTTTATTTGTATATATTAATAATAAAATAGTTTAATTAACTTTTAAATGTAACTGTAAAAATGTCGTGACATGTGCTCTTTTACCTACCCATATCTAGAGGGTTAAACTGCATAAACAAGTACATCCTAGAATTAAAATTATTAGGTGTTTTTTGAGCCAACATAAACACAATATTTCTTCAAATTTAAAGAAATCATTCTAGCCTTGAAGTGTTCTTAGTAACACACACACATTATTACTGTTTACCTGCAGGGATTCGTAGGTTCTACCACCAGGTGTCTTTTCATTTGAATCAAGAAGCATTTCAGTTTAAAGGTAGCATTGCTAGACATTTATTAGAGAACTGAAACTAGTTCTAATGTCAACAAGATCAAAACCATCAAGTTGTTCACAGATGCAGGGTTGCTGAAGGTCAAAGAAAGGATCTTCAGGCCTGGAAATGGAAATTAAATGATATTTAAATATCATTACATATCTTGTTCGTACCTTTTGGAGAAATGATTAGCCACAAAAAAGTTATTCAGGTTTTTCGGTATTTATCGGTGAATTTCAACTGTTTCTAGTTTAAGTAAATTGAATTTCACAATATGAAATTTGAATTATATCTCTGGGTCTTTTAAGTTTTTAAGTATTTTTAAAGTTTGATAGGTTGGTTGGAAGGATTTTTATTTTTTGTTAAGATCCATAAGCTATTACAGTATATAAACTTACCGTGCAGAAAACAACTCACATTTGTAAATATATGTCAACATACTTATACCATTTTCGTTTTCGATGACAAGGAACCCACTTTGAGACTAATAATGGCTGGAG